GTGTTACATCAATTTTATTTGAACATTTTTTTCCGTTTCGATGTGACTTGTTATTTTTCGATACTCGACAAAAGTGCTAAACTAGAATCTACGGAATCGTTAATGGAAGTCATATGACAAGGCATAAAATCTGATAATTTTTTTGAGCGAAGTACTTGATCACTGACTTGTTTCCTTTATCCATTTCATTGACATTATTATCATTTTTATATTCGTGTTTTTTTATATCAATTATTACACTATTAGTATTGTTTTCTTCATATTTTTGAAAATAAATTTACGGAATCGTTAATGGAAGTCATATGACAAGGCATAAAATCTGATAATTTTTTTGAGCGAAGTACTTGATCACTGACTTGTTTCCTTTATCCATTTCATTGACATTATTATCATTTTTATATTCGTGTTTTTTTATATCAATTATTACACTATTAGTATTGTTTTCTTCATATTTTTGAAAATAAATTTCATGGTCTATCGCGGGAATATAACATGCTTCCTTCCCCTTTAAAATATTTAACATATCGTAATATTTTAGATCCATAAAATTTTTAGGCACAGTTTTTTGAACTAATATATATATATTGCTAGATTGTAATAGAGAATAATTATCGCTTTTTCTTTTTTTCCGCCCGTAATATTTGCCGCAAAATGAGCTTCAAGTCTTAGAATATAATTGGTAAAATTTTCTCCGAATTGCTTTGTAAATGTCATCATTGATAGATACTTTTTATAAGTTTCACAACTATTCACATATTTTTATTTTTATATAATTTTGCAAAAGAATCTTCATTATTTTAAATTGGAATCAACATTGACATTCCCTTAAGTTGCGCTATATTTTTTTCAATCCGTTTTCCCGAATTCTTATCATATCGTCGCCACTTTTATATATATGATATAAAATCCATTTATAAAAAATTAAATTTTTCTTTTCATCATTCAAATTCTAATAATAATTATTCGTGATCAAAAAAAATTATTTTATATAAAATTTTATATTCCTAAACAAAATAATTCCTTCTTCTTAAATAAAAAATAAATTTTTAAAATATAACAATTCCGAGAAATCGATATATAAAATTGATATTCCTAAAAAAAATAATTTCTTAAAAATAAATAAATAATTTCTGAAAATTGATAAAAACAATCGATATTCATATCATTTAGATAGGAAGTTCTTTGTATACCTGCAACCAACACACCCAGTGAAAGAATTTTTTTCATTGCTGGATTAATACTCGTGCAAAAAGGACTTCTTTATGTCCCATGAACTTGATAAAATACCATTTATTCATGAGTGAGCCACGAAATAATTTAAGAAATGAATTTAACTAAATTAACAATGTGTTGGAAAAGAGCGCCTACATTGATTAATAAATTAAATTCATTAAAAAATTTTTTTTAAATAAATATCGCGCTGCCGCCGCTGACAATTTAGTAGGCAGCCGCGAAATCGGCGTGCTGCCGAACGCCAATGAAAAAATTAAAAAATACCGCAGTCATCAATTGTGTCATTGGCGCACAGGTCTAGATGGAACATAAAACTTTTTAAAATTCGGGCTCGGGTTGGAAAAAATCACTTTGCAGGGCTCTAATAATCAACGCCTTGTATAAAATTGTTTCCTAAGTGTGAATAAAAAATAATGTATTGCATTATTAAATAAATCAATGTTTCTGATATTATAACAGAATATTTTAAATCAAATTTCATTGGCACTTCATTTAAAAATGATAATATAAAAAAAACCTTATCTTGTTATAACCGTATATGAAAATTGATAATTTAAATTTTTTTTAATTAGTTCAATATCGCAGATTTAGATTCCACAAACGTTAGCATTTTATAATGTTGTTAAATGGCTAGTTTCGAGCCAATTTTTAAAAAAGGCTAACGCAATATTTTAGCCAGAAAAATATTGCCTAAGGCTCGATATTTTGCTAATAGATGTACAAATATTTGTTCCTTCTACAAACAAAATCTCAGGTTTGCGAATTAGCCGTTTATAAAAATCGGCTCAAAACGAGCCGTTTAACAACACTAGCATTTTGATAAGACAATGTTATGTTTTCTTATACTCGTCATTGTTTAAGAGGATTTTGCGGGCATCTTGTGTTGCTAAGTTTAATGTATGACAGAAATATCTTCGGTGCCTGGGAGGGTAGTCAAAGTAATTTATATCATAATTAGCCCAGAAGAAGATATTATATCTTCTATTAAGATGTATTCAATGTCTGAATAATTACTTCCCTCCACTAACGAAGATGCTAAATATTCTAAGAAAAAAATAATCTAAAAAATTAATTAGGCATAACGAAATGCTTTTGAAAAATTTGTTATGTAGATATTTTTATTTTGAATGTGATGCTTCTTAAAAAATATCGATGACAGACTAAAATATCTAAATGCCTCCAAATTAGCCACATCAATCCAATGCATTGTAACATCATTATATGAGATATTATTAATATAAAATATAAATAATCAATTTAAATTAAATGCTGTCTAGCAATCAGATCTTGTGCATACAAAATTGGGCTATAATTTTTCTCCAAAAATATCTTTCATTTGAACAACATATTTAGATATTCTTGAAGTTAATTGTCTACCTTATTTTCATAGCAGTATTTATTAGATTAATAAAATCTTCATCATCATAGGTTAAATATGGATGATTTCCATTTATTATTTATTAATCTGTGAATCTAATTTATACTTGATGATACTTTTAAAATTTGTTTTCCCATTAAAGTCAATTTTAGTTTGCTTTAATTTATTTGTTGTGAATGAATAATTTTTCTTATTATGTATGGTTTCCTTAATTTTTTTAATGAATCATTATCTCTAAAAAAATATATTTTTTAATGATTGATTATCTCTAAAAAATATTTTTTAAGAATATTAATTATGCATAAGATTATGGTTTTATTTAATAAATAATTATATACAATATTAAGTAAAACAAAAATCTTGTTGGCTGTGCCGATATTAAATATCGGGTCGGATCGACATCGATATTTAGCGTTTCCCAAAGATATCGGATCGGGCCGATACTAGTAAAAACCCGATTTGATCTTTATACTTTTTTATTTATTTTATGTTATGTATATTTATTTTACATTAATAACATTTTCTGAATAATTTTTTTTTAAAACAATGCAAATGCAACACCCCTTAAATTTATTTATTTTTTAAAAAAAAATAGATTTATAGTATTTTAAAAGTTTTTATAAAAATAGAAAGGAACACCCAAAGTTTTATTTATTTTAAATCTTTTTAAATAATAAGGCCAATTTTATTATTTATAATTTAAATAAAGATAAAATTTTCAAAACTTGGTCAAAGCAAGTCCATTATCCTTGTCAGAGGTCTGCATTGGGCGGGGTTTCGGCCCGCCCGCCCATCTAAGTCGGTGGGTAAAAAATTTTTCAAGAATGGGCAGGCGGGCGGGTTAAAAAAATTTGAAACTAAGGGCGGGCTGGGCGGGCGAGTTAAGGAATTTAAACAATGGGGAGGGGGGCGGGTTAAGGAAATTTAAAATTTTTGTTCAAAAACAAACTAAAAAAAATAATTGTTTAAATGATCTATAACAGTATTTCTTTTTTTATTGTAACAATCGTTTTTTTTATAAGTGAAGAACATTTACCTAACTATATTATATAATAAACACAACAATAAAACTTTTTTCTTAGAATAAAACATTTTTGTCTATTAAAAATTTCCTTTTATGGGAATGTAATAAAACTTTTCTAGTGCTTCTTCCGAACGCGGATTTTACATTGCTGGAAGATTTTTAGAACAAAGAAGAACTTGTTTGAATCCAGAAAATGTCGATTCATTATTATTTTTGCATTATAATTACCAGAGTTGTTAAAAGATACTTTTTAAATGGATCTAGATACAGATACAACGTCTAAAATAATATCTAGATACAGATTATTTAATCAAAAATCTATCTAGATACAGATACGACATTTTAATATCTAGATACAGGATCTAGATACTTGTATCTAGATCCTTTAACAACTCTGATAATTACATATAATATTAATTTTACATTTATATTTTTTTCATAAATATTCAATTTGATCAAATAAATTGTCCATAATTTACATTGATTATTTTTATACTTATATTAATTTCCTAAATTATAAACTTTTTGTAGAGGTGTAAAGCTGAAATATTTTTATTAGATGCTTAAAAAATGAAAGAATGACCATATTAAATTTTAATAGCGGGCTTGGGTTAACAATTTTTTATAAATAATGGGCGGGAGGGTAAAAAATTTTAGATTAATAAGCGGGCGGGTAAGGAATTTTAGGCATATGGGTGGGGCAGGTGGGTATATATTTTTTTTAAAACTATGGGTGGGCTGGGCAGGAGGGTTAATTTTTTTTTAAAACATTGGATGGGCGGGCTTTTGATCCAAAAACCCGCCCAATGCAGACCTCTAGTCTGCAAGGCCTGGCCTATTAAATTTTTTGTCTGGCCCAACCCAATTTTTTTTAAAAAAATTGCCCAATGCTAGCTCAAAATTATAAAAAATTTGCCGGTATCTGGCCCAGATTTTTTTTAAAAATATTGCCCATAGCCCAAAATTTAGAAAATATTGCTAGAATACCCTAGGCCTAGCTTAAAAATTTTAAAATCAGACCTTCCTGGATCGCTAAAAATTAACTAAAAGTAGATATTAGCCAAAATAATATTATGCAAGCCTCAACATTTGGTAATAAATGTCCAAACCTTTCTGCCATATATGAGTAAAAGTCCAGGCTTGCATAATATTTTTTGGCTAGAATATTTAGTCAGTTAAAAACCAAAACAAAATATTTCAAAAATAAAGATAAATCAGAAAATTTATAAAATCATTATATTTTGGATTAAAATTGACAATTAAGAAATGATATACCATAGGTGTGACTTAGTTTAAAAAAAACTAAATATTAAAAATGACACCCATTTTTCTTTATAAAAAATATATATTATATAAACCTTTATTAAATATGGATAAGGAAATATTCAATTAAAACCTATATTAAATTCACTAATTATATGAAAAGTTCACAATACATGAGTTTATAATCTTTTACAAGCTTTTCTTTTGATACAATTGAGTTTTTGTTTGAATTTTTCAAATATGCCTTTTCTCTCCATTATATTTTGGGCATCAGGTATAAATGTCTGAAATTCTTTATCACATGAAAATGGTTGAATATCAACAGCAAATTGTTCAAGTGATGGTAAATTTTGAAAAATTACATTATTATGTACAATACTATTTAATAATCTTTTTTCACTTGCTATAATAGGTGTCCCTTTAAAATATTTATTTTTAGTTTTAATATCAGTATGATCCAATTTATTATTCGTTGACATTTCTTGCATAGAAATATTGATACTATTATCTAAAGGTGAATAATTTTTATGCTCTATCTTTGTTGTATCTATGTCAATTATAGTTTCTGGATCTATATTAACAAATCTGCTTTCATTGTCAACTTGAGAATAAATGGAAACATTATCAATTTTTTTTCCCTCATCTCCAATATCAACATTGTGGATAGATGGATGCTCAAACTTTTCAAGCCAATTTAATTTAGAATGGTGGAATTGCATGGGTATTGAATTAAATTTTTTGTATTCATCAATAGATTTGCTATTCAGGGAAACATTAAACCCTTCATAATTAATGATTTTATTTAAGTCAAAAGATTTGATTGAGATAGTGTCATCATATTTGAAATTTTCTTTAGAATTCTTATATTTTTATTAAAAATTGATAAATATAATAAACATATATTTCAAAATGATAGGCTATATTTCCTAAAATTTAAAAAAAATATATATCTCTAATTGTTGATATAAAACATATCTATTTTTTATAAAAATTACATTTCGCAGTATAATTCCTGAAGTCTCCTTCTTTGCATCAATTAAATGGCCAGGAGGGTAACCTAAAGTTCTCATAACATATATATAGGGAGGTAATTCATATTTATGCAATCCAAGTGCTTTTCTCAATGAACTTGTGATTAAACCTGGTTTGTATTTTGTGTATCTTGGTTCAATATCAATGTGATATCTGCTGGTCATATTTTTATTAATGGATTTGGCCATAAATTCAGTTTTATTTTTTGCAATTTTTTTAAAATCTAATTTTTGAAGACAAGTAGATAGTACATGAGGCCCTTCACAATTAAAGCACTTAGGACCAATTCGTGAATTATGAGCTTTAACAGTTAAATCTTCTGCTAAGCCTCCTAAGGGATTATAATATATATATTCAAAATCTGGTAAATCCCAATTTTGACTTTGTGCATCTTTAAAATTATATAATGCATCCCCCATAATGTCTATTGAAAAATTATCAAAAAATTTTATATTTCCAATAATATTGTGATTTCCAACTGAATGATTTTTTAAACTTTCAAGATTTATAAAATTATTGGGAATTTTGAATGATTGTGTATTTTTCAAAGTAATTGGATTGGCAAGAATTTTAGATTTTTCAATCATAAAATGTTCAATTTCTTTACGACATTTTTGAGTATATGTATTATTGTAAATATAAACATGAGCAAAGGGAATATCGTGTGTTAATGATGACATAGAAAAATGATTAAATAAAATTTTAAGACGGTTATTCTCTTCCTTTAACGTAGTATTTTCTATCAATAGAGCTAAATATATATAGAATAAGATGAAATAATAAAATGTATACCATACCGTTTCGATCAATTTGAATTTCACTCATATTAATTGTCAGAAATAGAAATAAAAAATATTGATGTGTGAAGAATAACGACATGGCATATTTTTTATTAATTGTACAATGCGTATTTTGGGCGTCATTCAAATTTTAACATGAGTGTTCGTTTGAATCTTGTGGTGTTTATCAAATAGTATTTATTTATATAAAAATATATTATATGTATAAAATAAGAAAATATATATCCATATATACTTTTACAAAATAGTTTGACTATTTAATCAATTACAATAAATTGTAACATAAAACCAAATTAACAAAATACAATTTTTATTTATATTAACATTAAAGTTCTCCCCATTGCAAAATAATTTCATCATAATAATGTAATGAGGGTTTCGAAACTCTTTTTTTAGGAGTTGTTTTTCCCTTATGTTCTGCATTGTCCAAATCTTCAGTCATTGTTATGGGTATTTACTAGCTTATACATGAGCATTCCTCAGTTGGTCATGCTTGTTTTTAACAATATCCTCAGATACCCTCATATTCAACATCATGCAATATCGCACTTTTCCGTTGAACCACTGTCCCTTCATGTCATCCCGCAGTCCTTTCGTTTTCTACCCAAACCTTAAGATTATCTTCAAATTCATGGGACTTATTGTTCCTATCTTTATAATATTTTTGTTTTCATAACGCGTTTTTAATCCTTTCCCTCGCATATAATTTTCCCCCTAACCCTATCAATAGTAATATTCTTCAAAGAATAAAATCCCTCAATGCTGCTTCTCTTACAGAAACCATTAAGTTGAACCAATTAGAACATAAGATTTTATAACGCATTGGAATTATAACCAAAGAGATATCTCTATTCCAGCCAAAAATTAAATTTTTCTCATATGTTAAAAAATTACCAAATAATGTGTATCACATAATTACTAAAGATTTTACATACCATGTCCACGTTAAATTGGGAATGTGCAATTGTACAAAGGTTTCAAAAGTTGCACCATGCCAACAGATTAATATATTTGATAAATATTTTTATTTAGGCATATATCATGAAAGAATTCAAAGAAAACTTTGTAAATGCACCCCCCCCCCCCATTACTACACAAGACAGTTATAGCCCTTTCCTTTTAGCTTTAGGCGAATGTTGCGCGAGTCCCTCATTTTACCTACCCTTGAAAAATATTAAAAATGATTTTAAACTTCCTTATTTAATTGAAAACAATCTTAACAATGAAAATTCGAATAGTTTCTAAGAAATTTTAACATTTTCTTATATAATGATAATAATATAGTTACTGAAGTATAATTAATGACATCATAGAGGGTGCTGAAGATTTATCCAAGGATATATACAATAAAATGATTTTAAAAAATTTAAAAAATCCCCAACTCAATTTCATGTCATATTATTATTTAAAATTATTTATTTTTAAAAATTATTTTGTTTAATATTTATCAAATTTATAAATAGTCGCCTGATTTTATATATCACGTGTAGAACTCGTGATCTCTTTGTCCTGAAAAAGTATAAAAGTGTTTATATATTTTATGACTTTTATAAGTTTTATTTTTTAAAATATATTTAATCAATAAAATATGGAGTTGAAATTTTATTAATTTTAGTTTTAAAGTTGTGTTGGTTAATTATGTGAGTTATAAAATGGCGTTGTACTACTGGTAGAGTTTTTTATAGTATATTTTCACAATAACGGTGGTTTTTTATAGTGTATAATTATGATATTTCAGTATTATTTTTTAAATAAAAAATTTATCGAAAGGGAAGAAAGATCCATGTTCAACCTACATCCTTGGCTAGAAAAGAAAGAATAAAACAAAAATATGATATTAGCTCTTTTATATAATTTGCATAACAATTTTTTTATAATATTTTTGGCAAATCTTTTTATAGATTTTTATCTTTATTTGTATATACATTATATTTTTTTTATACATTTTATATTGTTGAACAAATTAAATTAATTATATTATATAATATATTTTTTCTATAACAATATATACTGCAAATTAGTTTGTGTACACATATTATATTGAGGTTAGTGCTTAAGATTTTCTGATGATTGAATTGAAAGTTTAAGGGTACTTGTTGGTTGCTAGTTTAAAATCATTTTCTATTTAAAATAATGAGCCTAAATTAAAATTATAAAGAATGGAAATGCAGTAAAAATATTTTATTGATTTACTTTAAAAAACATGTGCATTATATATCAGATTATTTTAAGATGCTTACTTTAATTTTGTGTTAACTTTTTTGATTTAATATTGCATTTAATGTATATAAGTGTAAAATAAATATCTGGCAAAATTATTTTAATCATACAGTTAAAAAATTATGAGAGGAATGAGCAAATAAGTCAATTTTGTCTGACTAAATTCCCGACGCATCCACCACGTGATTGGTTCCACTCCCTGTCATTCCGGCATTTAATTATCTCTTCCGGGGCACACACCTGTGGACAATCTCTCCGAAAGTGCCCCTCTAAACGCTGGCCTCCATACTCGGTGGCGACACCTTGTTTACGTTCCGGGCTCGGGGGTTGTGTACATCTTGATCTCTAGGCATTAGCCTCCACTTGCTGACCAAGGGCTCCATATCATTACTTATAATTGTAGTCCTAAGTATATCTAAATCTATATAACATTAAAACAATACAATATACCTAAACAAAAACTAATTCACTTTAATTCCAATTACCTCACTTTCGTAGTTTTATAGATAAATTTATATTAATTTTTGTATAATGCCAATCAACCAAATAAATAAGGTTGATTGGATTATAATTATCTTAATACAACACGTGATATATTTTTTTTATGATGTTGAAAAATAATTGTAAAAAATGATTAATTTTTCTATATGAAAACTGATAAAACCATTTTTTTTAATGATTAGTTTTTTCGATATTAAAATTTATAAAACCATTTTTTTGATGATTAAAATTTTTTTGGTAAAAGTTATAAAACCATTTTTTCATCATTATATTTTTATGTTTATGTGTTTTAAAATAAAAAATTACGATTTAAAAGTCCACAAGTATTTAGTAGTTATCACATTTTTAGCTTTGAGTAAGATTTAGTAGGATTGACGTTTCGGGTCTTCCGATTTTTGATTTTCAGTTTAGTTTTTTTTGCTTAATTTTGATAATTATTTATTTTTTTTTCCGCTTTTTTTTCAAGTTAGTGCCGTGACCAGGATATTCATGATACCAAGGTTATTCGTTATTATAAGGTAAAAACAATATTTTATTTTACATTTTGTATCTCTCCTCAGGACACAACGCAATCACAGCTTTGTTGTTTAAATTTTTTTTAGAAAATTAATAAATAAAATAGTTTAAAAAAAAAAATTTTTTTTTAAGTTAGATTAAAACCCAATCTTTATAAAATAATATAATTTTCTGTAATAACGTAATTTTAGAGTAAAGTAAATTTGTAATATGAGATGGTTGTATATTTCGATAAGTATCCTAAGCATGGTTTTATTAATAGAGTCGCCATCCTTAAGGATATAGGTTATAAAATTGTGTATCACAACATTAATGAATTGGATATAGGCCATCATGTAATTACATTAGGATTAATAGTAATTATATATTTAATTTATATTATTTTGAAATTTCTATTTGGAAAATGTACTATGGTTGCGACCTAAGTATATGGTAATTGGAAAAGAGGCACTCCAGTGTCGGCTGATTGTTGGAAAAAAATTTCGGTCTAGGAAAGTAATTTAAATGTGGTTTTAAATGAAATCAAGAACGGCAGACCATGTAAAATCATTCCTAAATATACCTCTACCATTCATTATTGAAAAAAATTTTCAATATATTAGAACAGCTTTTATAATCTTTATTTAAGAAATATTTTTTTAAAGGTTTAAAATTTTAAAATTCTATCGATGACGGGTATTAGGAACATATCGCAACCAACATTGTGCTGACTCAATTCTATAAATACACTCTGTTTTTACCAAATTCACTGAGGCATTATCAGTTCAGAAAGCTGATATGCAATTTATTGATAATCTCGAATCTCCTATATTTACCATTATATGGTTAGCTATGTCTTTGGATTTTTCACTATTTAAGGGGAAAAAATTTAATAGTTTTATTGAAACGACCTTAATTTTGATGAAATAGCAGAGGATCAAGGGAAATATTTAAATATTTCCCATATTAGATGCATCTGTTAGAATTGCATATGTATGCCCATTTTTCAAATCGTCAAGAATTGACCTCCTGGATTTAGGTCCTAAAACATTGATGATAGCCTTGCTCATTTTTGTTCTACAAGTATAGTTTTCATTTATATTAGAGTCGTTAAATATTATGGGAAAAAGATTTTACCAACATTGTGATGATAAGTATCTCTGAGAATGTTGTACTACAAGATAAGTGATTACAATTGCCGCAACTGTAGTTTCATTTGTGTTATTTCTTATTTTTGGAGTACCTTATTATGTATTTAAACGTGATACCTGATAATTAAGCGCCTATCTCTATAATGTTATACACACAATCCCTATAATGTTATACACACACACACATGGTAGATTTCCAAATGCCGTCGTTTTGCAGGACATTCGCATAAAATATATTTTTAATTGTAAAATTAAAATCGTTTTTTTTATAAAATTTTATCTTGTTTACATTCTTTTATATTTAAAAAAGATCGTTGGTTTTAAATTTATATATTTTAATAAATCAAGATGTTATTTTATTTTGAAAAATAATTACAGACTTTGTATTTATATAAACTAAATAAAAAATAATAGGCGGATAATTAAGTCGATTCAAAATGCAAAAATTTTTTTTTACCAATTTTTATATTTTAACGCAATTTTTATATTTCTCCCGCATAATACCAAATTTCTCCCGCAATTTGAAAATTTTGACCTGGCAACCCTGCCAATGACCGTTATTTCAGATCCATAAAACTGTCTCACACAAATATCTTCTCTACTTGTAGCTCCCCTCGGCCATAATACGATATTCCTCATATCCCATCACCGATATCAC